CTTTAGCTTCATGCAGTTTATAAAGATCCCTGCCAAGTGGTGGTATGTACTACATCTGGAATAGCAGCATCCCAAGAAAGTTGAGAGGCTGAAAATAATTGATAGGAAGATATGTTCCCTGAGTCACAAAACCATGTAAACCTAGTCCTGCTTGGAAGCCATTGGGGCATGGGGGCAGGGGGCGGTGTTCTGCTCCAAATACAGACAATATTTCTAGACAGTACTCTCAGGGTCTGGGAGACTTCAGCACCTTCTTAAGAGGAAATAAAAGTTCCTCCTAAATTTTGGCACCCAGCCCCAGCCCCCTTTGTTAACCTCTAGGGCTGCCCTTAAGGGAAATGTGGGTGGTCACCATTTGAAATTCTGGAAATCATGTCAGCTCCCACCTCTTCTTAGATATAAGAGAACTTGATGGGTCAGAGGTGGGGGACACTCTGTTGTAGGAGGACACTGCTCTTCTCAAAACACTCCAACAGTCTCTTCTCCAGTCTAGCAGGCCCATCAAAAAAGTTAATTGGAAAAAACCCCAAAACCAAAAGAATGAAGTGGACCTTTCCTGTCAGCTCCTGCCTCTCTGGTCAGTCCCCACTTCCTATGGGTACACTGGTCAGGATGGTCCAGGTTTCTGGCAACACTTGGGCAACGTGAATTATGTTGCTGTCTTCAGGGCATAGGGATGGAAGGGAGGTAGGAGGTTTGGAAATGGTAAATGGTAGCAGCCAGTCAGCATCTTCCTGTCACCAAGGCCCTGTGCCTCACCACCCATTCCCTGCTCCAGGATTCCTCATCCCAAACAATGAATATGAAATGGGGGCCATGGCACCCCTACCACTTGCTCAGAGCCCTCAGCCTGAGGTCAACCCTGGTTCCTCTCCATTAGCCTGAGGTATTACTGAAAACTACTCCTGCTGGTGCCCTCCCTGTCTGTGGAGGGAAGCCTCAATGCTCACTTCACAGACAAACAAGTGGGTTCCCTCTACCGCTGCCTCCACCTGCAGTCTCAGTAGTACCTCACTTTTCTTCCTCCCTTGGACCTCAGATAGTGAGGGCTTTCTCTATATGATTTCTGCCTAAACCTGCTGCCCCTCTTTCCCAAGTACAGATTCAAAGGTGTTCAAACCTCATATCCTTAAAGAAAAATATTAAATCCTTTGGGGGAGGGGATGAGGGTCCCTGGCACAAAATCTTCTCCCAGGCCTCAGTACCCCACTTAGCCAGCATCACAGGGACCCATCCTTCCATCATGGCCCTCCCACAAACTCTAGCCATGGGTGGGGTTTTACAGCAGCCAGCATGTCTCAGTCATTGTCACTCACAAACCCTCCCTCGAGTGCTCCAGCAGCCCTATATGATATGCGCTGTAGGCAATTATCCCTCCTGAGATATGGGGCCTGAGCTAAGGGGTGGGTAGTGAAGGTCAAAGAGCAATTCATGGCAGTACCAGCACCAGGTCCCAGTTGCCCAGAGCTCATCTGGGCTCTTGTCGAGGCAAATTCCTTCTCCAAGTGGCTTCATCTTCCATGAGGACAAATCCTTCACCCAGCCCACAGAAGCCAGGCTCTGCAGCACCTGGTAGCTGCAGCAAATGATCTGTGGAAACCAGCCTGTCCCAGATCTACACTGTTCTCCCATCCACCCCATGCTGGTCTACCCAAGACCACCACACTGCCCTACTGTGCTTACTCCACTGGGCAGTGAAAACCTCCTCCACTCAGACCACAGACACAGGACCACACCCTGTTCTCACTGACACCAATCCTTGTACACAGGCCACATATGCCTACCACACACAGACATACGAGGTCAGTGGACATACACCCTGTGCGACACACACAGACACTAATTATCCTGCGACAGACTCCTGTCAGACACTGAAATGAATGACATAGAGACACATGCACCAAGAGACAAGGCCACACAGGACACAGCCTGCCCACAAAGTCCCACACAAGCAGAAACACAGACATGGAACACAGCAAAAAAGAAGATTGATAGGCATGGCAGTCCTATCAATAGTAACATCTGAGCCACGCTCTCGCAGTCCTCTTACACAGTGTAACACTTTGCACACTCACAATCACACGATTACAGTCTGTTCTGGGCAGGCACTCACAAGCCTGTACTTATTCCGGGGCTCAGCGTCCAGTTACCCCCAATCTCAGCAGGAGGGATCCCCAGAGTTGCTCACACAATCAAGCCTATGCTTACTGCCACTCCCCTCCCTTCTTCCCTGTCAGGGGCTGGTCCTTGAGGGGAACAAAAGCCCAACAGCCCTCCTCCCCTCCCCCATTACTCCCCTCCTCTCATCCTGGCGTCCAGCTCCTTTGTCCTCCCACAGCTGAGCCCGATCAGGAGTCCAGGCAGAGCGGTGGGGACACGGGAGTCGAGGAGCCAGGGGTGTGAGTTTCAGCACTGAAGCAGCACTGAAGGCAGCAGTGGAGAGGCACCTGGAAGAGGGCGTGGCCAGGTAAGACTGGGGCGGGGCTCAGGAACTGGACAAACTGATATTCACAAGTCTAATTAGGGGTTTGTGAGTGGGTGTGTAAGTGCGATTGTTGGAGTCAACTTCTAGGGGCTGCTCTCCTGTGTCTGTGTGCAGACGCTTGCCTTTCCACCCTTGTCTCTCCCACTCCTCGACTCAGCCAGGGAAAGAGACTGTGTGAGTGAGACTGGCTGGGGGAATCGCTACCTTCCAGGTTCCAACTGGGTATACATCCATCAGCCCCAGCCTGGGAGTCCCCAGGGTAGAAACTGAGTCCGGTGTCTCCATGCACGACAGTGCAATGCAGCAGACAACTGAATGAATGAAAAAGTGCCAGCACACGTCCAAGGAAGGCAGAGGCTCCTCCCAAGGCAGCTCCTGTGGCTGGAACGTCTCCGAGGGGAGAAGTTCCACCTTACACTAATGAGAACTGTTCACTGGGTCTCAGCTCAGCACCGCTGCCTTCTCACCTGACTCACCGTCAAACTGAGTGCAGAGAGACCTGGTTAACTCACCTCCCAGCCTGGTTCTAGGCTGCTCCGCAGGACACACCCCTCAATCCCATCCCCCTGCTTGCATGTCAGAGTGGCTGGGCAGGAAGAGCCTGGGGCCAAATGCCGTCCTGGCCTGTCCCGTGGGCAGGGTCCTACCCACTAGAGAGCTCATCTTCCTACAATGCTGAGGAGGGGAGAGGTTGACAGCCCAGGATAGCTCGGGCCTGAGTCCTCAAAGTCCAGGTTCCAGTCTCTAGAGCAGAGCTGGGATCAGGTGTAGCGAGGACAGAGACTCCCCCCACCCCCACCCCAAGAATGGGCTCCCTGCCTCAGGAGGTGAGCAAGCAGAGGCCGCACATACATAGCTACCACATCATAGTCAACACGGGTACAATCCTTCAGTCTGTAGACTGTCCTCTCAAATATCCCTCATTTGACCCACACAGCAAACTTCTGAGAGGCAGGGTCAAGGGTCAGTCTGTACACTTCTTTCCGAATGGCAGACAGACAAAATCAAAGTACAGGGTTTAGGAAAGTTGTTCAGGGTCGTATGAGAATCAGATGAAATGATAAATGAAGCAACCAGCATACATGGCATGTGACCTTCCTCTTGAATAATAATTTAAAAAAACCCACAAAGAAATACTTGAGTGAATTTGTGCAATGAACCTACTCCTTTTCATACATTCTATTTATTCACCACAGCAATTCTTGAAGGCAGGCTTTATGATCTCCACTGTGTAGATGAGGAAAAAGAAGTCTGCTAGAAGGGTTGGTCTGACCCAAGTCACACAGTGAATCATTGGTAGAGGCTGGGACACCTCACTGCACAGAGGGCCAACCTTCCTCTCAGCCCGGGCTCGGACCTCAGATCTTTCTTCCCTCTGGGTCTTTACACAGGCTGTTCTCCCTCTCCATCCTCCCCTTCATCTGGCTAAGTTTACCCATTCCTCTCATTTCAATTTAACATTTTCCTCCTCAGGGGCCCCTCCCTGCTAACACACACACACATCCCTTTAGTGCCCTTTCTATGAACACCCTTAATACTCCATACTTTTCACAGAAAGCTTTGCTCAGCTCCAAGAAAGTAGAATTATGACTATCTTGCTCACTGCCTAGCACAGAGAACACCCCCAATAAATACTCGTTTCATACATTCATTCAACCTTAATTGAGCACTTACTTTAAACCAAATGCCCTGCTGTTGGAGGTAAGGGTACATATTAAATTTCATGAACTAGCAAGAGCACTCCAAGGGAGCACATACAAGCTTCCATTCACTCCTCAGATTTACTCTTCACTCTCTTCCCTGTTGCTCTATTGGCTCAAGGCGGGGTGTAACCTGGACAGCTAAGCCTTTTGCTGTCTAGCTTTCCCTTGGGCCTGGCAGCAAGAAGCAGAATAGGGGAGCAGAGATAGGTTGCTATCCGCTCACTCCCTATTGGTTCTCTTGGTAGGGTTATCTGAATCCCTTGACCAATGATCTTATCAGATGTATTTTGTCAGGTTCCTGTAGCCTCCCTGCCCACACCTTTCCAGGTCTTTTGGGCTTAAAAACTCCATTACTAACCACGGGATTATAACCCTGCTCTATTCCTTGGCAGTCTCTAAAAACTGCTTTGGCTTTTGTAAATCATTCCTTTATTAAACTCTCCTCTAACTATACTAGTTGACAGCAGCCATCTGTATCCTGGTAATAAAGGATAGGGAAAAGTGTAGAGTCTGAAGAACAGAAAGGGCAGTGTGGCTGAAGTGGATAAGGAAGGGAAGGAGTGGTACAGCTGACAAGCTAGCCCTTTGGTAGGCTGGGGCTAGGTGGCTGTGGCTTTAAAGAATCTGGACGGGTGGATGGAAAGATCGGATGAATAAGTGAAAACACACATGGACACGAACTTGACTGAGTAAGTGTGAGAACAAGCTAAGGAATGAATGAGGCGTGTGGTGAGCTGAGCCTCCTGCCTACCTGGGTCTCTGCCAAGTGCACTTCCCAGCAGAGAAACTATTTTCGTTCTCTACCTGCCAGGATGCCGGAGGCCTCGAGGCAGGAGGAGTCGGAGCCCTGTTCTGCGTCGCAGTGCGAGGGGGCCTGCCACGCGCAGCGCGTCCTGCAGACACTCAACACGTACCGGCGGAGCGGCACCCTCACCGACGTGGTGCTGCGCGCCGGTGGCCGCGACTTCCCATGCCACCGGGCGGCGCTCAGCGCGGGAAGCGCCTACTTCCGCAGCCTGTTTGCGGCGGGGCTGCCTGAGCGAGGCGTGAGCGTGGTGCCCGTGGTGCCTGAGGGGCCGGGCGCAGAGCCCAGCATGGGGCCTGCTGGCGCGGCGGCGGCCACAGCGCTGGCAGTGGTGCTCGACTACGTGTACGGCGCGGGCGTGCGGCTGCGCGCCGAAGATGAGGCGGCCGCCGTGCTGGCTCTGGCCGAGCGGCTGGGCGTGAGGGGTCTGCGCGAGGCTTGTGCGCGCTTCCTCGAGGGCCGCCTGCGCGCTGCCAACAGCCTGGCGCTGCGCCGCGTGGCCACCGCCTTCTCGCTGGGCTCTCTGGCGGAACGCTGCGGCCGTGTGCTGCGCCAGGCTTTTGTCGAAGTGGCGTGCCACGCGGACTTCCTCGAGCTGACTCCCGACGAAGTAGCGGCGCTGCTGGCCGACCCGGCTCTGGGTGTGAGCCGAGAGGAGGCCGTGTTCGAGGCGGCCATGCGCTGGGTGCGCCACGACGCGCCAGCCCGACGGGGCCAGCTGCGGCGCCTCCTGGAACACGTGCGCCTGCCCTTGCTGGCGCCCGCCTACTTTCTGGAGAAGGTGGAGGCTGACGAGCTGCTGCAGGCCTGCGGCGAGTGCCGCCCGCTGCTGCTGGAGGCCCGAGCCTGCTTCATTCTGGGCCGCGAGTCTGGGACGCTCCGCTCCCGGCCGCGGAGGTACAGCCCTTGCTCCCCACCTCCTGCTCACTGTTATTTCAGCCGTTCATTCATCAACCCCTTATTCAGTAGCTCAGTTAAACCACTTGAATGTGATTCCGCCTATTCTACAACCAGTTAATAGATTTCATGCTGAGAATTCTACCCTTGAATTAACAGCCTAGAGGGGAGATGCAGGAACCCCACTTTGCACAGTCTTCCTCATCTAGCCATTAACTCCTCCATCTATTCTCTCCATCATTCCCTAACACTGGGTATTTACTCTGTGCCAGGACTGGGGAGTGATTTGGAAAGACTTGTTGCTCCCTGGTAGATAACAAAAGGATACAAAAAGGCAAACATCAGACGTGGGGGGTGAGGATAAAAGTAATCTACTCCCCACTCCTGAATACTCATCCTTAGTAACAGAAGCAGGGACCCCTCTAATTGACCACTATTTGCAACTAAGTGTAGGGCCTAGTACAAAGATACTCAATGCTTACAGAATGATTTATGAAACCAATGACAAATGGGTTTGGAAATTATGGTGATATCAGAAGGCTTTTCAGTCTGTAGAAGGGGAGAAAGCTTTGATGGGAGGATAAAAGATCTGATGCAATGGAATTAGTGATTCCATTCTGGAACGAAACCACTAATCTGGTTGGATTCACTGGTGAAAGTAAAAAGAAGGGTAAAGAAGAAAAAGGTGTTAGAATAAGATAAACTTGGGCTTGAATCCTGGCCTCTCACTTGCTGGCACTTAATAAGGCAAGCCAAAGCTTCTGGCTTTGCTTCTGAAAAAGTGTAATCCCTAACTAAAAGAACTGTCATGAAGGTTAACGGAAGGTGATTTGGGGGGGGAGGGGCAGGGCTAGGTAAGGGTAAGAATTCTGCAAAACATATTTTTCCTTAACTGAGTAGTAAATATCCATGAACTTGCAGAAACAAAGTTATGGAAAGGCAACAGGTCTTTTCATAGAGTCACTAAGTCGTGCTTGACTTGACGGCAATCAACAACAGCAGTAGTAAATAGGCTGAGTGAAGAGTTCTGGTGGTACTATGGCACCGTCCACTGGTGGGATTCCATAAAGATTTAAAACTTTGGAAACCCCATGACCAGTTCTAATCTGTCCTACTGGGTCACTGTAAATCAGAATGGGCTGGATAGCAGTGGGTTTGGGTTTGGGTTTTTGTTTTATTTAGGCTGAGTGGGAACTAGTGATTCTCTTCTTATCAGTAGTCACAGGGAAAGTTGGAAGTGATGGGCCTCAGCATTTTGTTGTTATTATTTGCCATTGAATCGCTTGCAACTCAGCATGTTGTTGTTATGTGCAGTCGAGTCGCTTGCGACTCATAGCGACAGGCCATGGTCTTCGCAATCACTTGCTATGCATCAGAGAGTTGGGCAATGACTAAGGAGGACAGAAGGAGAATTGAAGCCTTTGAGCTGTGGTGCTGGAGAAGAGTATTGAGAGCACCATGGACTGCTAGGAAAACAAACAGATTCATCTTGGAAAGGGTTAAACCGGGTGGCTCCTTGGAGGAAAGGATTCTGAGGCTCCGTCTAACATACTTTGGACATGTTATGAGGAGAGACCAGTCCTTGGAGAAGGACATCATGCTTGGGAGGATGGAGGGACAGCGCAGGAGGGGAAGGCCCTCTATGAGGTGGATTGATTCAATCGGGAGTGTCAGAGACAGTGCGATTGGCACAGGATAGAGCAGAGTTTAGGGCTGTTGTACATAGGGTCACTATGAGTCGCAACTCAGCATAGGGGCCTGTAAAAGGGCATGAGATGAGGGCAGGATCCTACGTGGCCTACGAAATGGCCACAAAGGGGCTTGAAAACTTGGTGCCAGTTTATGGGTATTGGGTATATCTCCACGCCAGATTCATGGAACAAGCAGAAGTGATCGTGGTCATTGGCGGCTGCGACCGCAAGGGACTCCTGAAGCTGCCCTTCGCCGATGCCTACCACCCGGAGAGCCGGCGCTGGACGCCACTGCCTAGCCTGCCCGGCTACACGCGCTCCGAGTTCGCAGCCTGCGCCCTGCGCAATGACATCTACGTCTCCGGTGAGGGCGGGGCTCGCACGGGACTCACAGGGGATTGGCTCGTCGCCCGCCACACACCTGACATTCCTTTGAAACTGGAGCAGTATTTTTCATAATACCTTACATTTACTGGCTGTAGTGATCTACGGCCCTAAGTCTAGATTATTATCCCCATTTTGCAGGTGAGAAAACAAGTTCAAAAATTAAGAACTTTTGTTTAAAAAATGGCAAAAGTGAGCAGCTCTGTTTGATGGGGGCTAACTGTGCATTTCCTGAGATGCATATATTTACATCACAATCCTTGCTCCTGTGGAGTGCTCAATTTAGAGGAGTAAGACTAAACTTATCACCAGGCAGAACAGGATCAGAGCTATGAGTCCTGATCGAGAAGCACAAGGAAGGGGCCATTAGATCTTATTTAGGCAACCTGGCCCAACTTCACAGAAGGGACTACTTTTCAGCTGTTCTTGAAGGGAACACCACAAATAAAGGCATGAAGGCAAGCATGTGCAGAAATGATCCCTGGCCCAGGTTGCTCCGGAGCACAGGATGAGTTTATCTGGGAGAAAAAAGGCTACTGTACATGAAACAGGAAAAGAACAGCTAGAGTCACACGTGGGAAGCCTTGACTTCTGGCTTTGAAAGTGCACTTAATGTTATTATGATGGGTGTCAGACAGCAGGAGAATGAGCCTGGAAGGTCTCAGAGACCGTCCAAACCACTTACCACACCGGAAATCCAAGGCTAACCTCTCTGGTGGCCTCTGCATGACATGGGGAAGGGTGTTGTATGTGTGTCTCTTGGGCACCATTTAGAATACACAGAGCTGAGTCAACTCAGCTGTGGCTGGGGTTGTAGGCTTAGGTGGAGGGCTGCAGTCTTGAATCCTTGCTTGGGTTAGCTGCTCCTGAGAGATAAACTCTGGTCAAGAATTCTAGAGAGGCCAAGCACAGGGAGCGGTAGTCTATAGCCTGGCCCCACAGGCACACTGTGTCCTTCTCTGGTAACCCAGTGCTCTGATTCTGGTCCTTGTAGACCCCATAATCTTCAGGAAACCATACTCGCCTCTAAAATGCCTCTGAGTTTCCTCTCTGTAAACTAGATATAATAATTCCAATATTATATGGGGGAATGTAAACAAAAATGAAATCAAGAATGTGAAGGCAGAAGAGACGCAAAATTATACAGTCACCCTCAATCCCTCACCACTCCAAATTCAGCTGGCTCTGCTTTCCTTCTGCATTACAGACTCTTGTCTTGAGCATTCATTGCACTCTTTCCTTTAGGAGAGTTGTAAGGGAGCACAGAGGCTGGCACATCACAAGTTACCCAGTGAAGATTAGCTTCTTGTCTCTGCTGGGGCTCCCCCTCCGGAGTCCCTGCCTGTTAACCTAACTGAGATGGTCCCATCATTTGGAATATAGACACTGGCTCAGAGTCACACTGGTGTAGAAAGAAGACTTTTCTGTATCTACCATTGACTCCTCTAGATCCAGGAGCCCATGTCTCTAGTTCATTTACCTCCTCCTCTAGAGAATCCAGGGCCCCATGTTTCTAGTTCTTTTGGGGGGCTGGGACTAATGAGGGTTTGGGGAGCAAGGCTAGCTTTTTCTCTCTAGGAGGTCACATCAACAGCCGAGACGTGTGGATGTTCAGCTCCCATCTGCACACCTGGATCAAGGTGGCCTCACTGCACAAAGGCAGGTGGAGGCACAAGATGGCCGTCATTCAAGGCCAGGTAAGGACACTGCAGCCTTTGCCCTGGGACCCACAGTACGGAGCTATGGACACACTAGGGGAAGAAACTTTAAGATTCCTACCTTGGAATAAGGGATCTGAGCCCCCAGAATTAATTTGCCCAAGGTCATATAATCTACTACTACTACTTCTACTAATGGTAAGGATAGCAATTACTATAAAAAACACAACTTAGTGATCAGTGGTTATGAACTCTGATGCCAAACACCTGGTTTGGATCTTGATTATCACTTAAGAAAAACAAAACCTCCTACCATTTCTTTTTATAATAAACATCTGGAATTCAGGGGGAAAGTGCTGCTTAGAACCGGTTAAGTGAATTGGTAAACCCTTAATAAATTATTACAGTTATGGAATCAGCTCTCTGGCAATGGGTTATTCTTATTTTAAAAGGACCCCTGCTGGTGCTATGGGTAAAACATTAGGCTATAACTAAAAGGTCAGTGGTTTGAGGCCACCAGATGGTTGGAGGGAGAAAAAGGAGACAGTCTCCTCCTATATAGATGTATACCCCCGAATCCCTATATCTGGATCTACTCTGCCCCACAGTCAAGGAGCTCTGATGGCCTGGTGCTTAGAGAATTGTGCTGTAGACTCAAAGGCTGCTAATCTCTCTGGTGGTTCGAATCCACCAGTAGCTCTGTGGGAGAAAGATAAGTACTCTCCAGTAACATTTACAGCCTTGAAAACCCAATGGAAGATCCACCATGTGTTGGTTCTGACTCATTAGCAAT